ATGCTCTTTCTGCAGTGGCTGCTACTTCCCTCTCCTAGGTCTGCATTATGAGAGAATCTTTTTAAGAAATCTCACCCTGCCCCCCAATCTTTCTTGTAAGCATCAAGAGAGATTTGTGGAGAAGAACCCAAGATTAAGTACAAATTCCCCTTGTGTTTGCATTTGCAAGGTATTTGTATTATCATGCTGGCCCACATATATCTTTAATAATTAATTTAAATTTAAAACTTTAGCTAAATTCTTCTGCCATTGTGTATGGAACCCAGGAGATCTATCACAGGTAGGCAAGTGCTCCTGTTCCATCTATTTTTGGAGATGCATCTTTTATTAGATTTTTGGGTTACTTAGTTACTTTATATTCTTAGCTCTCTAATCGGCTCAATAAAAGTCATAAAATTGAAGAAATTTTGGCAATTTTTTTTGTAAGTGATGCTTATTCCACCTTCATGCATCCTAAGGAGATACTCAAAACTCATTTCTTCATGATAATACAAAGGAATCTTTAAGAATAATCACAACTTGGCATTATCTTCCTTAGTAACTCTACATGGTTACAAGAAGAAGGAGGACAATAAACACTTTAAGAAGGCCCAGGCACCCTTGCTTTCAACAATTCACCTTAATTATCATGACATTGAGAAGACATTCATTTCTCCTTGCATAAGTCATTTCTCCTTACATTAAGTCAATAAAATAATTACTGTGTCCCAACTAGGTGCCAGCCATTGTGTTAGATCCCAATGTGTAGTATACAGAACAGAGAAAAGAAGATATAATTTCTGCATAAATAGTCCTTAGTCTAATGGGGAGACATTAAAAACTTAAACTCACAGATAAATACATAACCACAAGTTATATGTATTATGTGAAAAAAAAAAAAAGAATGTACTCAGAAAGGGTATAAGAGAGAAAGTTTAAATTAAAAACGATGGGAGGAACACTTCCAGAATGGCATAGTAAGGACCTCCAAAATCCTGTTCCTTCATAAAAATAATGACAACACAGGCAAAAGTGTTTATAATACAAATTTTCAAAACTCTAGAAATTAACCAAAGGCTTGCAACAATTAAAAAAAATGGCTAAATCTCTCAGTAGTAATAGTGAACTTTGTGGCATTTTAACTTACTCTTCCTCACCTCTGTAGTCACCTTGAAAACCAATAAATACGGAATCATGGTAGCTGAGAAAAACATCAGCTGAACAGCCACTGAGTGAGCAAAATGTGTTTGGAGATTCCTAAAAGGCCTCATTCCCAGAGTATTTCACTATTTCACCTATCTGCCAGCTCCCTGCCAGATAGAAAAATCTCATTCACAGTTGTATCTTTATTTCACCTGACTCAAGTCACAGTCAGAAAAATCCTAGGTTGTCTGTCAAAGCAATGTGCAGCAATTGCTTAACATTGCAATTGCCTGAATATGTAAATATCAGTTGAAGCAAACAATAATCTGACCAGATTCTTACAAGAAATTTTTGAGGACATTATAAATCCATACAAGGCCTTGAAAAGCTACCACATATTTCTAGGGAATCACAAAAATCATGTATCTGTGCAAGGTCCCATGCCTGCCCAGAAAAGACTGGAGAAGGACATAATCTTTCATCTTTGGCTAACTTTGAGGCGCTGAACAAACAGTAAATGAAAATTAAGGCAGAATTTAAACTGCTGGGCCATTAAAGACAAGCTCCTTACCAAGCACATATGTAAGGCTTCAGAGAATTAATGGTTTGAAGCATTTTTTAAAAATCTGTCCAATTATTAGTTGACCACTAAGCTAACTAAGTAGAAACTTCAATGGCCACACATGACAAATAATACAGAATTAACATTAGTAACCCAGGAAAATCATCAAAAAAAATAGACGTCACCACCAAAACTAACTAACTAAATAAGCCCTAAGTGGGAGAGGAGACATAAATTCTATGATATGCTATATTCTATTATTTAAAATGCCCAAATTTTAACAAAAAATAGGAATTGCCTAATGAACAAAGAAAGTATGACCAATACACAGGTTTAAAAATATTGTCCATAGAAACTGTCCCGGAGGAAGCCCAGATGTTGGATTTAACAGAGATTAGTCTGAGGTGGATGACACAGCATTGTGAATTCTATATAATTAAAATTTGAATCCTACAGAAGACTTTGCCTTCCCAAGAGTCTTTTTAAAGGCACTCTTAACCTCTTTATTCCTCATGCTGTAGACTAGTGGATTCAGCATGGGAATGACTATGGCATAAAACACAGATGCCATTTTGTCAGTGCCCATGGAATGGCTGGAGCTAGGTTGTAAGTACATAAATATGCCTGTCCCATAGAAGATAGAAACTGCAGTGAGGTGGGAAGCACAAGTGGAAAAGGCCTTCCGGCGTCCTTCAGATGAGCGCATCTTCAGGATGGTGATAAATATGAAGAGGTAGGAGATCAAGATTACCAGGATAGAAAAGAGGACATTGAATCCCACCACAAAAAAGATAACCATCTCACTGATGTGGTTGTCAGAACATGAGAGAGCCAGGAGAGGAGGGGCATCACAGAAAAAGTGATCGACTACATTGGACCTACAGAAAGAAAGCCTGAAAGTGTTCCCGGTGTGGATGGAGGCATTCAGGAAACCACAGACATAGCAGCCTATGGCCAGACAAGCACACACATTTGTTGTCATGGTGGTGGTGTAATGCAGTGGTTTACACACTGCTGCATAGCGGTCATAGGCCATTGAGGCCAAGAGGAAACTTTCTACTGTGATAAAGGCTACAAAGAAGAAGAACTGAGTGGCACAAGCAGTGTAGGACATCATTTTGTCTCCTGTGAGGAATCCTACAATCATCTTTGGAGTGACAGCTGAGGAATAACCAAAGTCTGCCAGGGAGAGATTACTGAGGAAAAAGTACATAGGTGTGTGGAGACGAGAGTCCAATAGAATCAACCCAATCATCCCCAGGTTCCCGACCATAGTGATGAAGTAGATGAAAAGGAAGATTACAAAGAGTGTGATCTGCAGTTTGGGGTTATCGGTCAACCCTGCAAGAATGAATTCAGTCACCTCTGTAATGTTCTCCATTAGGAAGTATGGGGCTGCCCTGTAACAATGAGAAAACAAAATCAGAATGATAAATGGAGAGAGGACTGCTGAGATCCGTCAGCATGTCCATTTTGTGCATATCACAGTATTGCAATTGCTTGTTTTCCAGAAATTCTGGACCTAAAACACGTCCATGACAGCAGGATGCAACTTTAAATTATCAATAGTTAATAGAGTGTCCCTAAAGAAAGGATTTTAGAGATAATGCATCCTAATCTCCTAGCTTCATAGATTACTGAACTAAGGTACAGAAAAGATGCATACAAGATCATCAGATTAATTACTAACTGGAACAGATGAGATGTGAAGCCAAGTCACTCTGAAGCTAAATCTTAGCTCTTTACCAAAAAGAAAAATTCCTTTAAACCTTTTACATTCAACCTAAACTAAGCACACAATAGTAACTTGTTTAATTGACTGATTGAATGGTTGAGTAATTAAATCTATCATTGAAAGTCACTATGGATAATTGAAAACATGAAATTAGGAATAAAAAACATTGCCAGTTCACTTGCCTTTGTGCAAATAACCTACCTTTCCAGGTCTTAATTAAATTGCAAGAACTGGATCCACAAATGTTTATAACCATATCCAACCTTTTAAAATCTTCAAAAAGTTAAAAAGAAACATACCTCTGATAATATCAACCAATAAGCCACATAAATTTCTGGATGCTATTCATTCTTTTGTCCTCTCTATAAGCACTAATTCGGTATGGCGCCTCAGATTGCATGCTAATTGCCAAGCCTACATTGATGTACAAGATACATTCTCTGATGTCAGGATGTTTAGTAGACTAAGTTACCTAAACTTATGAACATTACATTTAGATCAGAATATTCTTATTCTCCATTTCCAAGGAGAGAGCATTGTTTTCTCATTTGCCTAGAATCATGTGATGGTTGTTGATCTCACTTACACTGTAGTCCATCAGCTAGTCCATGATACCCTTACTAAATTGTGTGTCCAACACCAGGTAAGTCTTTAGTGGCAGAATTAGAACTTGAGATCAGGTCTCCTCATTCCAATAATTAGTTGTGTCATGTAATTTTGCACATCTGTATTTCAGTCTGTTTTATGATTTGTTTCAAACCCTAATTTCTTCCTCAGTTACTAATCACCCTTTCTTCTTTTTTTAAAAATATTAGCATGGGCTTCCAGATTACAATAAAATTTCATGTTGATACCCCATTCAATTCTTTTGACAATTCTAGAATTAGTCAAGATAACTAATATTATCATATTCCCTGAAAAAGAAAACTGAGCTATAAATAGTCTAAATAACTTGTTTAAAATAATACAAGTTTATACTTTGTAAAGTAGGGACTTAAGGCCTTCTTGAGTTGTTTATTTATGCCACATGATAACTACACATGTTCTAATAGGAACTCATTGGTGTTTACATATAACATCCCTAATCCAAAAATTCAAAATATGAAATGCTCCAAAATTTGAAACTTTTGAGCACCAACATTTTGCCACAAGTAGAAAATCCCACTCGTAAGTACTTATCACAAACTTTGCTTCATGTACAAAACCATTTTAAAAATATTGTATAAAATTACTATAGCCATTGCATATAAGGTACACATGAAATATAAATGAATTTTGCATTTAGACTTGGATCTTATGGCAAAGATATCTCATTATATATGTGCAAATATTCCAAACTTCAAAAAATTCTGAAATCCAAAACACTTCTGGTCCCGAACATTTCTGATAAGGTATGCTTAACCTATATTCAACCTATTGAAGTTACCCAAGTTGTATAAAAGAAATAAAAGAATTATTCAAAATATTTAAACCAAATCTCTGAATAAACCAAAGGAGTAATGGCTGTCTTGATGCATTTTCCTGATTACCTCTGCTCCTGCAACTTAATGGCTAGACAGTAGATTTGATCTAGAGGCTTACCTTTCTTCCTGAGCAATCAACATGTAAGTCCAGTACCTTCAAATGTGAGTGAATCTTCTATCAGAAATTCAGTCCTTGAAAGAAGGAAAACATCTTTTTTGGAGACTACTCTAGTGTTTGCCCAAAAGGCTTCAAGTTCTCTAGAAGCAGAAAGACATTGAAGGAGAAAAATGCTACTGGCTTTGGAATCAACTAACAAGAGCTTTACTCCTGTATTTGCCAGTCTTTCTTCTTAGATGAGTCACTTAACCCATTTGAGCCTCAACATCTTAATCTGTAAAAAGAAAATAATAAAAGGTATCCCCCAACAACATCCAGCCTGAAGACTATTGCTTTGATAAGAAAATAATAGAATCCCCATAATACCTTATACTTGGTAAAGGATGATAATCATAACCACAATCGACGTCACTATTATCGGAAATTTTTTCCCTGGACATTGTTACAGCCTCTCAGTAATATGTCAGTTCAGAGGAAGGTCATTTGTGCTACTAGATGACTATTAACAATCAGATGGATAATGAAAGATCAGAGTAACTCTGTTTCTTGGGCTGCCCCTTCTAATAAGAAGCCAGATGAAATCATGTAGATTCATGAATAGTTGAAGAATAGGAAGCAGGAGGTAATTATTTTGTCATGGAGATCCCAGAGGATACATACCTTCTGAGGGCTACAAACACTTTATCTCACATAAATAGGAATCGGGTGATTAAGGTGTCTATGGGGATCCAGCTCTGTTTGTTGTGAAAGATCATGAGTGTATTTACATTACTTTCAGTAATTCTCCTTTAAAATGCACAAATCAGGCCAAAGCATGACCTCCAGGACTGCAATTTGACATAAATATTAAGAGATAGGAACACAGATTCTGTCACTAAATAAAGCAAGTGAACCTCAGGAATTAGTGTTTCCTTTAATTAACATTAAATGTTGTAACAGTTGAGAAGAAATATAAATTCATTCAATGGTTTATTGATCCCAAATAGGTTTAGCCATAATGATGAGACCTGGATCACAGATAAATGCAAAATAAATGTCATTTTTGTGAACATGGTGCTTAAGTAATGAAGGAGATAGACAATTAAGCAAATAAACACTCTAAGAAACAAATATATGTAGAATATTCATGTATGATATATATATGGAATAAGCATATGACTATACATTTAAAAATGAGAGAGAAAAGAAGAAATCTACTTTATATTGATTTGTCGGAATGTTTTCTCAGGAAAGTTAACATTTTAACCAAGTTTAAAGATGACAAAGAACCAGTATGGGAAAGATCATTCCAAGCAAAATAAAAAAATATGTAGTAAAGGACTAGAGTTTCAAAGAAGTCAGTAGACTCTAAAAGAAGCCAGTATGATTTCTCCATAGATAGATATTTTCCCTGACAGTTTCCATTTCAGCATCCTCTCCAAACAAACTCTGAATAAAATAAAACAGAGATCAAGTGACATCAATAAGATGGCAGAATAGGAGAGGTAAGCCTTTTTCCCACACAAAAAACAACAAATAGACAATTATCCATGAATGATAATAGCCTTAAGAGGGCTCAAGGGACCATTTAAGAACCTGCAGCAACATAGTGAAATAAGTAAGGGGGAGAATTAAATAACTGCACTGAAAAGATTGCTGGAGAGATATACATACTTGAGATAACTGGAGATGACTAGTTTAAAGGAAGAAGAGCAGGAGCTATCATTATCAACCATTTCATGGGTGCTACTGTGGTCCCCAGAAACCCATTCTGCAGAGAATACTGACATTTATCACCACTGAGGTAAAAAACAGCCATCCTCACAATTAGAGTCCCCAGAGAGAAACACAGTTTCACCACCACCATCCAAGAAGTAGCACCATGTGCTACCCCATGACCAAAGCAACTACCTCCACCAACACTGCACATGCCTCAAACATGGGAGCTACCACTGTTACAGCCTAGCGCTGCCTCACACCTTAGAGCCTCAGTTGTTGTGTGTGAATGTAATGTACACTCTAAGTACCAGTTCCATAGCAATAGTGAGCTAGCCTGAGCCCCAGAGCCCAGAACCACTGCAACTCTGAGTACACCCATACTCTGGATCTTGGAGCAACTGTAGCTCTACATATGCCTGTGCTCTGGACCCCAGATTTCCAACTACTCCACCAGCACCTGCACTTCCCACAGAGTTACCAATGCAGCACCCAGTGCTGGTGTCATCAGTGTTCCAGACTCCAGAGGCATTGTCCCTCTATCCGTGTTTATGCTTCAGACCTTGGCTCCATGGTTGACGCACAGGCATTGTGCATCTGACATCGGTGTTACCAGAACTGTAAGCACACCCATGAGCCAGACCCTATGCCCAAATTGATCCCCTAAGCCATAATTTACATGGTGGAAAGAGATTGGGAGGATCCCAGTAGCCTTTACCACTGAAGACCCAATATCCCTTGCTGCTGCTATTGACACCCACAATCATGGCTGCTGAGAATCCCTGCAATCTTCATCTTCACCAATGCCAACCTAAGTTGACAGAACAGCACAAAGACTAAGTTACTGTACCCTCACCAGAGCCAAAACTGCCACAGACAAACCTAGGACTCTTCTGTAAGGAAAATCCTTTCCTGTTGAAACCGATCTATAAAATCTGGAAGAGATGACTTCACCAAATGTGCAGACATCAATGCAAGACAACAGGATACATGAAAAACCAATGAAACATATTAACACTAAAACAATAATTTCCCAGTAATAAACTCCCAAGAAATGGATGTCTATGAATTGTCTGACAAAGAATTCAAAACAATTGTTTTAAGGATGCTCAGAAACCTAAAAAAGAACAGAGAGACAATTAAATGAGATCAGTAAAACAATAACTGAACAAAAAAAAAAATTTAACAGAGAGTTTACAATAATTTAAGAGAAAAACAGAAATTCTGGAGCTGAAAATTGCAACATATGAACTAAAAAATGCAATAAATGCAAATTACAAATACTCTGATTTCAGAAAATCTATCAAGCCCTGAGTTCAAAAATTCTTTTCAAGAGGGAGAGGTCACATTCTTTTTTTTTTTAATTTCAAAAAATTACAGGGGTACACATATTTTGGTTATATAATTTGCTTTTTTACAGTTTGAGTCAAAGTTATAAGTGTGTCCTTCACCCAGATAGTGTGCATTTTACCCATTAGCTGTGAATTTACCCATCCCCTCATACCTGCTTGATTTTCAGTTTTACAAGCAAGGTCACGCCTTTTTAAATGTGTCCACATGCCACCTGGAATGTCAATAAGTTAGCTGGTGCTACAGAAACCAGTTTGAACCATAGGATGAGAAAACACTTAGGGCTGTAGAGCAGATAACTGGAAAGAACTTCTTAATGAAGAAGTTCTTAATGATTTTTTGGAGATGCCACATATTCTGACAACTGGTGTACTGGGATCCCAGAGTTAGTGCAGATCCCATCCAGAGTTAGGGCAGGTTTCACATATTAAGGGCTCAGTTCACCACAGACTGCTCTCACTTCAGGTGCTAGGTGCACTTCAGGTCACCTCACGTAACCCACACTTTTGACTGACTGGCTATAAATTCAGGGGTTCCCACAACCCTCTCAGATTTGGTAATTCACTAGAATGACTCACAGAGCTCAGGAAAGCACTATGCTCATGATTACAGTTTTATTATAAAGACTATAGATCAGACCAGCCAAAAGAAGAGACACATATATAGTGTGAGGTCTGAGAAGGTCCCAGACATAGAATTCCCCCACCCTCTTCTCACAGAACCAAGGTGTGGCACCCTCTAGCACATCAATGTGTTCACGAACCAGAAAGCTCCACTGAGCTTCAGCATCCTACACTTTTACTGAGGTTTCATTACATAGGCATAATTGATTGTATATTGGCCACACAATTAAACAAAGTCTCCAGCCCCTTTACTCTCTTGGGGGGTCAGGCTGGCTCAAAGCTTCAACCTTCTGATCACATGGGTGATCATCCTGCTGGCCAGTCCCCATCTTGAATTATCTCATTAGCATAAATTCAGGTTGATCCAAGGGGCTTATGAATAACAAAGGCAGTCCTATCATATTAAAAATTGCAAGGATTTTAGAAGCTTCATACAAGGAACCCAGGGTAAATATCAGACAAATTATTTTATATACTACATCCTATTAGGTGGACTAGATCAGACTTCTTTTATGTGAAAAAGAAATAATTTTCTGTCTTATTTAAAACCACTAGTATTTTCATTTCTGTTAACCAAAATTCTATCCTAACTGACAAATTGTACACTGGTATCACTGAATTGATAGAAACAGTATTGGAGGTGGAGTTGGATGACCTGGTTTTATGACTTAGCTGAACTGCTAACTGTGAAATTTCAAAACTTCTAATCTCATGGAATACTAATTGTCTCATTTTAAAATATTAGTAACACCTAAAATAATGTTTTGAGAGAGGACACCAAAATCAAACTTCTGAAAGTCCAGTGGTAAAGGGAAGAAACACTACTGACACCCACTGAGGTATGAGAATATATATAAGTCAAGGGATGAGACATATAGACATGGTCCCAAGGAAGTGGGAGCACCAGTAACAAGTTGCCTGTTTCTAATACCTCAGAACTTTGAGTTGTTCCTCACATTTATCAACTAGAAATACTGCTCAATATCCATTTAATCAGGAATGATGTTTACAATTTGTTTAGAGTGGGGAAAAACCATACAAACATGATCCCAGGATTTTACACATACTTTGGGGGTGAGAGGGAAAGCATGACTGCTCCATGTACAAACTTCTTAGGGTTGGTCTGTTTTTAGTCTAGTATTTAACTCTGTCACACATTCTTCCATTAAGTCCAGAGCCTCCTGTGACTGCTGGCTCGTTAATGCTCTAGTTCTTCAGTTTGTTTCACAAATGTTATTTTATTATGCTTCATTACTTAATATACATTATATATATACATATTAGTACATACATACACTTTTTTAGGTATTAACGTTTGATAATATAAAACGATTGTTTTCTAATTGTAAAGAAAAATGACTGGATGACTTCTCCTACCCTTTCAGGAATGCTAAATAAGCTCAACA